GGAAATTAGATGAGGAAAACATTTGCTCTCAGCTTTCGTGCCTTTGTCTCCTCTGGACTTGAATGATGGGATATTCTTCCTGTTGGTGTCTTGAGCCAATGTCTCCAGAAACTCTGATCCATCCTGAACTCTGCTGCTGGATCCTGGRGAGTACAAGTTTGACCACAGAGCACCTGTTCTACACTCACTCCACTGACTGCATTACTATGAGGAATAATTACAAGACTGCCCTCCTCACTCTGTAACGTATCTATTAAAGCTCTCCTATCAAAAGTTCATTTGTTTCTTCCTCTGCATTTAAGATATTAAGCACATATTAAGTTGGAAATGCCTCAGAAATTTTCTGCCACCAGATCTGTGTCTCCATTTCACTTTACAATTTAGTGTAATTCATGTACAGGAACTGATGTTTAACAATATTGGATGCTCAGACCCTTTATTTTTATACTTCTGCATGTGTTCTCTGTTCTATTCTTTTTTTTTTTCACCAAAATTGTACAGCTCTGCTGCTGCGTGATTTTATTTTTATCACCTTTTCTTAAAGACTTTATTGCCTGCCAATTGGGCAGTACGTCCTTTTGGGAAAAATAATGGCCCTGAATGCACCCTGCATATGTACAGGACTCCCYGTGCAGGAACAATATGAGGAAGCTGATCATTTTGGGCAAAGTGAGTAATTCATCCAAACGAGCCAGTCCAGCCAGTGATTAGGTGTTTCACATTGGTTTTCTCCTTAAAAAGGGTGTGTCTACTTATTTTTGTTGCCTATTTAGGACSGTTTCCTGTATACACACCTACCTTGTCAAGACCCATAGTCCTAATGGGGACCAAAGGTTCTAATATGGTGGAACTCCATTTTTGYGTTAAGTTTAGGACCATGGTGTGAATTGAGTTTAGGTTAGTTTTAGGGTCTTGGAGGTACCTGTGAGGTTYGTCTTAGGGTTWGTGGTCAGGGTTAGGCTGTAGAAATTACTGGAAATGAGTAGGTCAATGAACAGTCCTAATAAGGATAGAAATACAAACTTGTGTATATTTGTTTTATTGAATATTTACAGAAATGATACAGTGAAATAAAATGTTTTAAGAACATCTCAAAGTTTCCCCCATTCACACATATTGTATTTATTTTCTATTTTTGTTTTTCTAAGATCTCACAAAACCTGTCTGTAGCTTACAGGGTGCAGCATAAAACCAGGTGTGGACACAATGATGTTTAAAGCCTTGGGTTTTTATTGTAAGGTACAAGCAAGACAAGACAAGCCTATTATTAACAGTGCGCACAAAGTTGGGAATGCCCACAGGTGTCTAACAGCCTGGTGATGATGTGCACACAGAAGATGCCTGTCTGTCCTCCTGAAAAAATAACATCTTTTTRTGCATTATTTGAATATGACTTAATCTAAAAAGTCTGTCAGGTTATTGCAGACACCCCTTTTGAAAGAAAGCACCATTTTGAGCTACACTCAAAGTTCATCAATATTGAAACAAACTTATTTTCAAATGACCTTGAAAATATGAATTTGTTCTTTTTATTGTGTTATAGCACAACATTGCTGGACTTTATCTTTGATGTTGTGTAAAAAAAACATTTTCCATTAGGCTTAAATCTGGTGTAAATCCTTCAACAGGTAAAAGTTACTGACAGATCTTGATAAATAGTTAAGATAATTTAGACAACAAAAGCTGTAAAATGTCCTCCCCGATAGCAAAAGATGTTAATTCAATGTTGAATTATGGTAAATAAAAAGTTGATTTTGGGTTAAGGTTGACAATTGATGGTGAATCAAACAATCATCCAATTCTAGCCAAAGAAATAATGTTGAAAAGATGTTATTGAATCAATGTTGTTTCATGGTTGAATTCTAATGACTGAAATGCCAACATCTAATCAATGTTGAATGGCAGTGGCAGATCTAGGATTTGTCCAAGTAAGGGGCCATCAAGGGGCCACTATAATCACAGAGGGGCCAAGTGATGTTCAACATCTTTTCACACAAATCTCCAGTTTTGGTAAAGTGTTTACATTTAACCAGTCATATGTGTAACCTGTCATTTTTACCAGTTTTACACATATTTTCACTGTACATGGATAAAATACTCTCACAAACACAGCATTGTTTGTTAGCTGAAACACTTTTTCTGCAGGATTGTTCAGATTTTCTTAAGAAGATAAGAGTTCTATGAGCTTGATTCATGCCGGACATTCCTATTTGACTTAGTAGCGCCTCTAGTGTTTGGACATGATGATGATGATGATGATGATAATGATGATGATGATGATGATGATGATGAAAGCCTTTATTGTCATCATTTGCACAATGAAATTGCTTTTAAGAACACCCATTCAAGAAGACACACACACATGACAAAAACATGGGGAAACAGGTGTTCAGGTCATGCGGCAACCAGTAGGGGCCGCGCTACCTTTAAAAAAATTGGAATACACACAATAGGAAAGATGAGTTTAAAAAATGTTCTGATCATATGTTTACACAGAAACACAGAATCATACTCTTAAAAAAAAACCACTTGTACAGTGCGAGGCAGCTAAGAAAGGGAGGGGGCTAGGGGTATACACATGGTACGGGATAGGATGCAGCAGAGCCGGTGATGTTTAAGGTTGTTAATACTCCGTGCTGGTATCAATCAAAGACCTTCAGAGTCCAAAACCAGTTGTTATCAACCAAAGCACAAATCACCAGAGTTCAGTTCTCTGTCTCCACCAATCGTGGCCTTCAGACATCCACCCACAGGTGATACGGGTAGGGGGTAGGAAGTCAAGCCTTTGTTTCATGTGTCATCCAGGGAGTTTTGATAACTGRTGTAGGAGTCCCCTCGAGTGAAGAAACAAGATTTACTGCCTCGAAGCAGGCCTTGGACAGGCCTGACGAGAAGGCAGGAACTCTGTCACAAACTGAATTCTTAGGCCATGACAGGTCATTTCAACCTAGAAGAGAATTTCTCAGTTCTCTTAATCAGATAATGGACAGAACAATCTTTTCTGTTCGTGATTCATTTGTTGTTTAACTAAGAATATTTATGCATTTGTTAAATCATATAATGACTGTCACAAAGAAAGTGGAGTCACTTCTACGCTTTTATCGTGCCTAAAAGATTAATTAATGGTATAAAAATCGCAGGGAAAATCATTACCATGTTTTCATTGTGTTTTTATATAAATCACTGTTTTTATTTTACTGGAAACACAGTAATATAATTGAGTTTTTCTTGAGAAAATCTTTCATTTATCTGGATTAACAAAAGGTTCAGACTGATTATTTAAACAGAAATGTTAATTAATCATCATAAATGTTGTAGAGTGATTTCTCTTAGAGTCTACCAGAAGAAAAGTTGAAAAGAAATGTTATCATACTCTGTTAAAAACAACCACAGAATTTAACCTTGGCTGGCACCTGGCTGGCAAAACCCTTATCTTTCTTCCTTTTCTCTGACTCATTCTAAGCCTGAGGGCGGAACCAAAGTCGTCCGCTTCTATTACTAACACGTACGTCTTTGAGTGACGGGTCACTTCTTCCTTGATGCCAAACTGGGAAGGAAGGCTGAGTTTTCTCTTCGGAGAAACCAGCTTGGCCCGTTAGGTCTTGCCCATAAGCCAATTAGGGGGATCTAACGGCCAGGACAGAGGCAAGDCGCCGACTGTCCCACCTGAGACTACAYGTCTCTAAGTGTTTTCAACTCCCGRGGGGAGATTTTATTTTGAAAGGAGGAACCGGATGCATCAGCTTGAATCTTTCTGGCGAAGATCGAAGCAGACGAAAGTTGCCTAAAATAACACTTTTCGCCGAGGAACAGTGAGCGGGCCGATCAAAACGTTCCCTGACTGATCAGAGGTGAGACAGTGTCTACCCAGGGTTTGGTTTTTCACAGGTAACGCGGTCGTGTTCCCTGTTGCTGGCTTCTTAACCAAACCCTGGGTAGACACTGTCTCACCTCCGATCAGTCAGGGAACGTTTTGATCGGCCCGCTCACTGTTCCTCGGCAAAAAGTGTTATTTTAGGCAACTTTCGTCTGCTTCGATCTTCGCCAGAAAGATTCAAGCTGATGCATCCGGTTCCTCCTTTCAAAATAAAATCTCCCCACGGGAGTTGAAAACACTTAGAGACTTGTAGTCTCAGGTGGGACAGTCGGCGGCTTGCCTCTGTCCTGGCCGTTAGATCCCCCTAATTGGCTTATGGGCAAGACCTAACGAGCCAAGCTGGTTTCTCCGAAGAGAAAACTCAGCCTTCCTTCCCAGTTTGGCATCCAGGAAGAAGTGTTCCGTCACTCAAAGACGTCCGTGTTAGTAATGGAAGCGGACGACTTTGGTTCCGCCCTCAGGCTTAGAATGAGTCAGAGAAAAGGAAGAAAGATAAGGGTTTTGCCAGCCAAGGTTAAATTCTGTGGTTGTTTTTAACATAATATGATAACATTTCTTTTCAACTTTTCTTCTGGTAGACTCTAAGAGAAATCACTCTACAACATTTATGATGATTAATTAACATTTCTGTTTAAATAATCAGTCTGAACCTTTTGTTAATCCAGATAAATGAAAGATTTTCTCAAGAAAAACTCAATTATATTACTGTTTCCAGTAAAATAAAAACAGTGATTTATATAAAAACACAATGAAAACATGGTAATGATTTTCTCTGCGATTTTTATACCATTAATTAATCTTTTAGGCACGATAAAAGCGTAGAAGTGACTCCACTTTCTTTGTGACAGTCATTATATGATTCAACAAATGCATAAACATTCTTAGTTAAGCAAAAAATGAATCACGAACAGAAAAGATTGTTCTGTCCATTATCTGATTAAGAGAACTGAGGAATTCACTTCTAGGTTGAAATGACCTGTCATGGCCTAAATAGAATTCAGTTTGTGACAAAGTTCCTGCCTTATCATCAGGCCTGTCCAAGGCCTGCTTCGAGGCAGTAAATCTTGTTTCTTCACTCGAGGGGACCCCTACACTGCCAAACCAAGGTTAGCAGCTGCAGGGATCCAAAAGATAAACATAATTGTTTTGGGACAAGCAGCCTTGATTTTCTCGCTGCTTTTAAGTCTAACTGCATCTCTGTGATGGTGAAAATGCCAATGTTCCAAATTTCAATTACCTCCTCGCCTCTCTTTCCATCTGAAACTTCACCCAGGTGTAATCTTACTCCTCACGGGCATGCTGCTGAACTGTGATTCTCATCAGAATCACATCCAGTTTATGACTTATATCCCTGAACATTTGAATCTGTGCGTTTCCAATACGGGAGACTCTCATCCAAGGCCCCTGACAGCTTTTCACAGGCCCGGATTGTTGTCAGGTAGGACAGATGAGTGAAAGTTGCAGGGGCACTTCAGGGGGCCAATCAGATTTCAGCTGGGACCAATGCCCCTTTGGCCCCACCCCTAGAATCGTCCCTAAGTTATGGTTGAAGACCTAATGTTTCAACATGGATTCAATAACATGCCTAACCATATTTCAATGTTGATTCACTTATATTTTGCTATCTGGGCTGACATCTTCTGTTAGTYTAGGCTGTCAACTATCTTGGTGTAGTTTTGTTCATTTCCAGTTCTTCATCAGGTTTAAATCTGTATTTGTATCCATATGGCCTCAAATGGTAGGTAAGGTATTCTAACACATGCATCTGAACAGCATAGATGTAGTGGAAAGACACCACAAAATCTGAGCAGCAATTTGGACCCTAAAGATACAAAAAACAAGAAGAGAACAAGATCAGAGATGTAGACATTTAGAATGACAAAGATACATCCTCTATCCACCACACTTTCTAGTTGTAAAGTGAGAAAGAGTCTCTGAAAGGCAGCTAAACATCTTCAACTACAGAATAGAAGTACATTTTTTATCTGCCATGTCTTAGATAAAGTAATGTTTGACTTACCTCACTTGGCTTGTAGTAGTCATACAGTAGGTACCATTGTCGTGGTCTTGGTGGCTTTCGAACAATATAATGATCTGGAGGATAAGGGTGAAATGTTTGRCTTCCCTTCATGTCTCTGGAATCTGCTGGCCGCACTTTCATCGTCTCCATACATTTCCCCAACGCCATGTCTTCTATAGAGGAGAAATGAGTGCATTCTCCAGTGCTAAACCCTTTAACAAATCTCTTCAAGGCTTCCTTACTCAGGACATAACCTGCTCCTCCACTCATGTAGCCCTGACTGATGAAAGGCGCAAACCTCCTGCCTAAGTATAGCGGCTCCTCTGGATCATATTTGGATAAGATATAGTTCAGATTCTCCATGACCACATATGTGTCGTCATCAGCTTTCAGAAACCAGTTTGCTTCATCTATGTGGTGTTTGTGGATGTACTGTAGAGCTCTGATGGTCTTCCAGTACAGGTTTTCTCTCCCCTCGCTCACATTCAGTTCCACGGTCGGAAAATCCGTTTTCACAGAGCTCATGTACAGAACTTTGCCACAGCGCTTGGCCCACGTTTCTCTGATGTGTTTTGTTCTTGTTTGTAGGTTCTTGGGTCCAGTCATGATCCAACATAAAATCTGAGGACTGRTAATTGAATGGTTTCCAGTACTGTTGTTGTTCTCATCTGCAGTACAAAAGACAAAAAGCATTATTCTAACCAATGTCAGTACAGATACAATAATAATCCCATTCACTGTTGAATCTAAGGTAAATTCAGTTACTTGAGAAAACATTCAAGCTGCAAACCCTCACAGCTCAGCGCTGTTCCAGCCACGCAGCAACCGTGGGAGGTGGAGAAGCCGGATGAGTCAACAAATGAATGTTTAAGTTTGGGCAAGACTAAAGGGATATCATCAAARTTGCAGCCTAAAGGAACACTTATGATGAGAAAAATAGATGGATCTACAGTAGTGTTCCCTCACCTTGACGTGGGTCACCGGGCCCCACTCTGGAGCCAGGTCTGGAGGTYGGGCATGCTGGRAAGTGTGGCCGGGCTTTCACCCATGGAACCTGGCCAAGCACAGCCCAAAGAGATGTGGGTTTCCCTTCCCATGGGCTCACCACCTGTGGTGAGTTGGCTCCGATGGTGGGGGAGGATGCTGGTCAGATCTGGCAGACCCAAARGTARAGTGAGGGTCTGCTGGGAACATCTGACAGGGTCTCCTGCCAGACTGAGCTTCAACTCACACCTCCGGAAGAGCCTTGAACACATTCAATGGAAGGTGGGGGACACTGAGTTCGAGTGGGCCATGTCCCATGCRTCTATTGTCGAGGCAGCTTACCGGAGCTGTGGCCACAAGGTTTTCTGRGCCTATCATGGCAGCAACCCTTGAACCAACTGGTGGATACCAGCAGTCAACGATGCTGTCAAGCTAAAGAAGGGGTCTTTTCAGYAGTTTTTGACTTGTGGGACTCTGGAAGTAGCTGTCGGGTACAGCAGTCCAAGCGTATTGAAGGTCGGGTGGTCGCTGAGACAAAAACTGGGGTGGGAGGCATTCAGAGTMGCCATGAAGTTTAACTTCCAAATGGCTTCAAGACAGTTCTGGTCCACCATTCGGTGTCTCGGGAGCAAGGAGGGGGATGCAGTTCACCACCAACATTGTTTATGGTGGGGATGGTGTACTGCTGACCTTAATTTGGGATGTTGTYGGTCAACAGTCAGAGTGGGAATCTTTTACTATTTAATGATTCAATTTGATTCTGATTTTCTGGGGCCACGATTGGATTCAAAGTAAATTTTTCATTCAAAACTGATACTGTGAGCTAATTTGTCGTGTTCACAAAGTGCTTCATCTTCATTTTGCAAACCTTGTAGACAGTGAAGCTCATGTTAAAAAACCATGAATGAAGATGGGGGCCAGTTGAATACRTCTTTCCTCCTGTTTTGTAGTTTCCCTTTTTGTTTTGGTGCRAACTGCGCATATATATGTTCCAGAATCAGCTGCGTGGTGACATCAGGACYTCCCAGTGGAATGAGGTTTTAAACTGACAAGTGCAGAKTGACACAAGGGTACAACAGCCCAGAGGTATGTCAAACACAAAAGCCACAACACAAATACAAGGAGTTATTTCAGTTTTATTCAGCTTCCACATAACACCAGCACTTCTCTTTATTTACTTACAGTAACCAGTAGCGGTACTTCCGGTATTAGCAACTCGGTATTTCAAAATAAGAGTCCATTTTATTACAGCCTGAAGCAATACATTTTCAACTAAACTATTTTATTATGACCTCCGCAYGCGAAGTGTAAGCAGGAYTCATATCGTTTTCATACTGTTATTTCATTTTATTTTTGTCATGATTCACGTTCTGCTCCACCTGSCACAGCCTCCCTGTCACATCATTCACTAATTAGGATCATAATCAAGCATCATGACACTCACCTGTTCCCCCCAGTATTTAAGTTCTCCACCACCACTGCTCCAGCGCCMGATTATTGAARGYTTAGCCAAGTAAATGTCTAGCATTATCAAGTCACGTCTGGTCTGCCTGGTCACGACTCTCCTTCTGCTTTTTGGTCTTACGTCTCCTGCCTTGCCCCTGAACGGTACTTTGTTGGATTCTGATCACCTGGTTTTGACCCTCGACTCCTCCAACGGATTTTTGCCCTTTCCTCTTGCCCTTGTCGGACTCATCTAGCCATCTMCCTCCCGGTTCCAGACCTCAGCCTCCGTTCCTCGACCAAGAGATAAGTTTGCTCCTTCCAAACAAAGTATGCGTTTCGGATCCATATGTATGACCCTTGCTTGTGCTAAGGATTTCTCCGAGGTAAATAAACACCTCCATTGCCCGCAACACGGAAGTCGTTGCAAAGTCTTCAGACGTCTTCCCAGCCTGTCTACGTCACTCAAGGGATATCCCCGGAATCCCCGCTCGTMGAAAAGGTTAGTGACTTTGTTTCACACTTCGTCAAGTACTCTGTCCATCCAAGTCACTGACCTGGTTCTCTGTTGTTTAGAGCTCCTGATCCCTGTGARGCTAGGATCCAGAACCAGCTGTCTGTTTTTAAATAAAAACCTTAAAACTGCTCTGGTGTGTGGCAATTTAGTGAAACGCATTTACCCAGTCTTAACAATTTTTATTTTTTACAGTGATTTTTGGTCAACCGTAACACAAAAACGGCTGCATTGATCAACATGAAATTTGTCAGGACTGTAGATGAGTCTGACCTACACTGCACCAGCCAACGGTTTTATGATACACCCCATATTTGAGGAGGGGGCTCCTTTCAAATAGGGGGTGTCAGGGCATTCAAAAATGCTTATAACTCAGAAACTGTTCAACATAGAAGCTTCAGATTTATTTTGTTGTTTAGCTCTGATGAAGCTCTATCCATCAGGCCCACCAATCAGCACCCCCACAAACAAGACAGTGCATCTATCTCAAACTTTAGAGCCTCTTTGCCAGCAAGGCTCTAAAGTTTGAGATAGATGCACCGCATAATCCCAGTTAACCCCTATAGTCAGCACAATAACAGCATTCGACGTTATGACAGCACATTTCTATACTAACTAAACAAAATCTTTACTTAACTTTTAAGTTCAAAACATTCCCGCACCGAATCCTTTATCCTGTGAATCAACTTCCTTTCTTCTTCATTTCTTTTTTGACGGTTGGTAAATAACAATGTAGCGCTTTACCGCCATCTGCTGGTGGGATGTTTTAGCATAACTTCCGTTGTGGCATTTTGATTTGTGTTGTGGCTTTTTGATTTGTATTGTGTCTTTTCTATTTGTGTTGAGGATTTTTGATTTGTGTTGTGGCTTTTTGATTTGTATTGTGTCTTTTGTATTTGTGTTGTGGCTTTTGTATTTGTGCTGACACCTCTGGGCCACCGTACTGGGCCATGGTACAAGGGCCTTCCTTTAAAATAACCCAAACTTTAAAGACAACAGAAAAGCTGTCAGGTAGCGGAGCTTTACGGGCTGAAGATAAATGACACCTGAGGTTTATAGTAACAAAGTATATTTTGTTTCAGTACTTAAGTGATTCTTTTGAGGATTTGTAATTTTACCAAATATTTTTAATACTGTTACTTTTGCTTTTATTTTGTTGCATTCAAAACCTAAAATTGATACTTTTACTTCTTTACTTGAACGTTCAACACCTAGTTAACTCGTTACAAAATTAAATGTGTCTGAACTGATCATGAAAGGAGTTGTTTCTGCGCTCTAAAATATGCAATGTCGAATTTACTCAACCATGTCATGTCAACTGGTTCCACTAGTAGTGTAAATTTGAAGCAATACACATATTTTCTTTGAAATGAAATATTTGTATTACTCATTTCACTCAGCTTGGTTTAGTGGAACCAGTTTGGTTCAGTAAATTCAACAGTTTATTTCTTAGTGAGTGTGTAAAATACTTTTTTACTTCCCCAAATTTTGTGAACAGTTTTATGACTTTTACTAAAGTAATTCACTCATCAGTGAAATTTATTTATATTAAAGTCATTTTC